GGTGGACATAAAGTGAGAGATAAAGGGGGATTGGTGGTTCAAATGGTGGTGCTCTGAGTCACTGTAAGAAAGGGATACAGCCACTGTCTTGTCAGAATAGAGAACTTCGTTAATTTTAGCATCTTACTGGTTAGCAGGTGGAGCACAGAACAGGAGAGGCGGTCAGAGAGGCCCAGGTGGGCATCCTGTTGGTGGTGAGTCCTGGCAGAATGATCCAGTGAATCCCGGAGCACGAGCTTGAATCATGGCTGTGAAGTACCAAGAAGATCTGCATGTCTTCTATCCTCTCTTCCTTCTCTCCCCCAAACCAGTCGCTGCAGATGGCTGCACCTTCCTGAACCTGGTTCTGCCGGAGGTTTCTTCCTGTTAAAAGGGAGTTTTTCCTCCCCACTGTCGCCAAAGTGCTTGCTCATAGAGGGTTATATGATTGTTGGGTTTTTCTCTGTATGTATTGTTGTAGGGTCTACCTTACAATATAAAGCGCCTTGAGGCGACTTCTGTTGTGATTTGGCGCTGTATAAATAAAATTAAATTGAATTGAAGATCAGCATTGAGGTGAGCGTGAGTATTGTTGTGGAGAAACGAGGATCTGAGGGATCACTAAAACACGGGGACAGAAGCAAGGTAAGCGTGATGCGATCACTATGAACACACAAGATTACTTGCCGGGCTTTCACTAACGTAGGTTAGCAGAAGATCTGGAGAAGACCAAATCACCACCAGGTGCGGACAGCAGCCGGTCTGAAGAGCCTGTTACCTCTCCCTTTGTTATGTAGTGTCTATGTTGTCTCTGCTTCTGTTCATTATTGTGTTGTCCCTCACATCTGCCTGTATCCCACTTTTGTATATCTGTGCTCTGAGACTGTTTCTCCTAGTGTTTTATTTCTGTTTGTACCTGTACTTTAGATTCATTGACATTAAATGCTCGTTTTCAGTTACTCCTACCCTTTGTGTTTCTCAAACTGGGTCCACAAATCCAGAGCCCACACAGCCAACACTCATTTGTTAGTCTATGTAATGCTGATGGAAATTTGCCCCCTTACATCATACAGAAAAAAAGTTCCTGCTTTGAAAAATGTAATATTGGAGCAAAAACTTCTGGCACAGTGACATATCGTACAAGGCCTCCACCAAGTGGTTTGAGATCTTAAAGGCCAAAAGCAGGTCAGATGAAACAGAAACATGTTACATGTACAATATGACACTGGAATGATGGTAAGCTTCACTTGTTCTGGGGTATAGTTAGGCAGATATCATAGGAAAAACACCTAAACACACCAAGTTTCAGCTTTTATCTACAGAAATGCTTTTGCTGCTAGTGACCTAAAGGAAGCAACAGCAGCAAGATGACTTAAATTAATTGTGTTAATTCTTAATATTAAGTTCTAATCATTAAGCATGCTTTCGTGTTGTGTACTCCAAATACAGATAATATCATCTGAATGTCCCAAGAAAAACTGACACTGATTCGATCAGGCAACATTTTTATAATCTTCTGGTGTCTAACTTTGTTGAGCCCACACAAATCATCAGTTTTACATTCTGATACCTCGAATATCAAAGGAGATGCTCCCCTGCAATACTTTGGTTGTCCATCCATCCATCCATTCACTTCCGCTTATCCTTTTCAGGGTTGCGGGGGGCGCTGGAGCCTATCCCAGCTGTCATAGGGCGAGAGGCGGGGTACACCCTGGACAGGTCGCCAGTCTGTCGCAGGGCCAACACATAGGGACAGACAACCATTCGCACTCACATTCATTCGCACATTCACACCTAGTGACAATTTGGATTATCCAATTAACCTATCCCCACAAGCTGCATGTCTTTGGACGGTGGGAGTAACAAGTTGATATTTAAGTTTCTGCTAGCTTTCTACCAGCTCAAAGCGCTCTGACCATTCCTCTGACTGCTGGCATCAACAAGGCATTTTAACCCAGAGTAACATAAGTGTTGCTATTTATGTAGTGCTAGTCCACAACACACATGCCATTTTCTATGTAAGGTAAAGACTCTATAATTAAGACATTCAATAAGCTTTTAAAAAAAAATCTAGATACTACCGCTGCTGCTATCCCAATTGCACATTGTCTATCTAGTAGAATGCAAGGCTGAGATTAGAGGTCAGATGAAAAACCTGGGACCTGCAGATGGGAATTTGGGTATGATGAAAATGTGACTCTTCCAAGTACAGCACGGTACTGCAGCTGATAAAGAGCTCTAACTCATCCCCCTTTACTGCCTTTTGAATATGGACACCAGCTTATTGGGTTTTCTTTAAAGAAAGAATATTTTGTACAAAATGAAATCTATAATACTGACACCGTTTCCTCATTTGTACAAAGTGACAGGAGTGCTCTTATAGTTAGTATATGTGGCACCTACACATGTATGATAACAACAACTGTCATTTCCTTTAAGAATTTCTTGGTGGGAAAACTCACCACAGTACTGCAGCCGCTTTTAGTTGGGTTCCTGGAAATGTAATTGTGTGTTTTTGCCACAAGAGGGAAGTGTGGACAAGTTGAAAGGAAAGTTGCTCTTCCTCAAACATGCAATGTAACAAGATGGCAGGCCTTACTGCATATATTTTATATTGTCTCAGATGTAGCTCTTTGACACATCGCTTCTGGTGCAACTGAAGGATATATTATTACTGCTGGGAAGCAGTTTATATATAATAAACTGTGAATCTAGCACTTATTTAGTATTTTTATACAGAGGAAACAAGGAAACTAAGTGAGTTTAAATTATGAACCTGATTTAATACTGTGGTTTTCTTACAAGATAAATGTGGAGAAACGAGGTGTAAGAATGTGTGACTGAACAGAAAAGAAAAATGGGAAATTATGTTTATTATTAAAGTGAATCCTGCAGACTGAGCTTGACTCAAGTCTCCATGCATAACCAATGGTTTGTAATGTTAGGAAGACACAGTCGGTCTTTTTAGTGCCATTGTGTAATATGCAAACGCCTGCACAGCAAACTTGTACCACAGAAAATCTCTTCATCAAGAATGTGTTTGTAAATATGATGGTAATCTCAGAGAACTGCATATTACTGAACACTGAGAACCATTCTTGTCCGGGCCATCTCAGACAAGCTGCATGTGACAACAAGCTTAAAAATGGTAAACACAACCTGTTTCAATTACTTAGTAAGATAACATATATATATTTATTGGGGTTTTTATATTTGGCGTGACTTTCATCTGAGCAACTACATACCATAGGGCTGTTTTAGATAGTAACATGAGCAATGTTAACCTTGACAACAATAACATCTAGTTTAAGATGTGACAAAGAACATCATAGAAGCTAAAAAGGATGAGCTTCTCATTCAGTTAGTTTTAATAAGTTGCATCTGCTTTGTGTAAAACTTAAAGCTAAAGCAAGACTCGAGCAAATCCTCAAACATTAAAGCCTCCAGCTTTTTGTTGCTGATGTAGTTTTTATTAGTGAGCTGTTGTGAATGATGTATAAAAAAGTGTACTTGAAAATTTTGCATCATAATAATCTTTTTTCCCCAAAGACTTTTCAGCTACCTGCACTCATCAGTGACTGTAGAAAGACCAGCTTTTTACTAACAGAGAAGAAGGTACACATTATATTTTTGCAGAATTTACAAGTTTTTACTCAATAAAAAGCCATTCGAGTCTACACGTACACACCTTTACTTTTCCGATAATGCTCCACAGCGTAGTGCTTTTGACCTCAGTCACAGTGTCTCGCAGTTATCTAAGGCTCGTCTTTGATGCCAACTACTTCCTGTAATTGAAAGGCATATGCCTCTGCTGCTCCCCTAGGGTGTGCTGGGTCAGGCGTAACTCCCTCCAAATGCAGAACCTTCTGTAGTAAAGTTTTTAAAAAATTCCCCTTCAGAGGATTTTTGCCAGTTCATCAAAATATCTCAGAAAATGATATTTTGAAGTGGAAAAAATGCATGAATGGAGTGACCGGCGCTGGCCCCTGCTGACTTGACAAAGCTGGGAAAGCAGTCTGTCAGTGTAAGGCTGGTGTGGACGTGAGTGTTTCTGCAGAGTCTGCTGCCTTACATGTAGACCTTAAAGGACTGTCATACTTTTTCTAGTGATTTCAAAAACAACTCCCTTGATGCAGCCCTATATGTTTTATCAAAGACTATTGTTTTAAGTGCTAAACATACAACTAGAAAGGGTCTCCCAATCCAAAACTGGCAGCTGCCTCCATAGCAGACGGGCCTGATAGCTGAAAGTTCTTCTCATTCTTCTTTTAGGAACCAAGTGCTCCGCTAGGATAATAAGGTACTATGAGGTCAAATGAGACGTAGAAAGCCATTGTTGCTAGTATCCCTGGGTGCCTCTTTCTTTGCTGTCTCGGCCTTAGTGCGGCAGCTTTTCCTGCCACCTGTACTTAAACTTTGTCTGTGTTGACTATTAGTGTTTCTGATAATCTCAAGAAATGCACAGCTTACAAGCTTTTTGGTTCCATGGACATGTTCAGGTGAATAAGATGCCTCTTTGTCAAAACATCCCCGTGTAGGCCCCTCCCTCAAGCTAAAGAAGCAGAAACCATTGTAGTGAAAGCAATGGTTTCAGAATGCAATTCAAACTGATTATTTTGTTTTATAAAAGATGAAGTTATCAGTTATGCTTCAACCTCACAGCCAAACATATGAGGTGCACAGCTTCTTGACTTGATGACCTCAAATCACCCAAAAGCACATGGACCAATTCACAGACCCCTATTGAAGATAATATACTTAATAAAACAACTGAATTGTTAAGCACTGATTATTGTCGTTATTTGGTGAGACCAGCTTCATTCGTCAACACGGTCTGAAGTCTGTTTCTTTAAGTAATACCAGCAAATGCATTTATTTGGTATATGACATCAAATGATGAAGAAGTGATTTCAAGACAATTTTTTTAAAGTATTGGAATCAGCTGTCAAAATAAGATTTGACTTACCTTGAGGTAGAGAACAAAATCTTTCTTTCAAAGAACAAATGATGACAGATGCGGCTGAAATTTTATTCACATTTATTGTTGCTTTTAGTGTGCTCACAGAAAATTAGAACACCTTAAGCAGAGGAGTTTAATAGCAATTGGTTTGTAAGCAAAGTTACATTCCATCTCTAGGTCAAATTGGTCAAAGCTTCTCCAGTATTTACAAAAGGAAAAAGAGAGCGAAACAAGATGCTACACAAACATTTGCATCTGATAGATTCCTTAACTCGAGTCAAAGACCACTGGAAAAAAAACTGCCAGCTGGAATTGAAAAAAAAAAACCAAAAAAAAAAACCCCCATACAGTATATAAACAGTTTACCATTCCACTTATCACAGCTTGGTTTTTTAGTTCAAAATTCCTTAAGGACCTTTTGTGTGTTTGCTTGTCTGTATGTGTGTGTTTGTGTTGGTATCATACAAAAACGAGCGGGTGGAAAAAAGAGCAAACATTATGTGCTTCTTGAGATCAAAATTTCATTTTGTACAATAATCACAGTTAAAAAGACCCCCGCCTATACATACTTACATTTTTATTAAGGTCATAAAACCAGCAATAAACAATAAAGCCTATACAACTTGTATTTCTACGGAATCACTGACAGCTAATGAGAAGTGAAACGCTCCTATGGTTTTATATGACTTCCTAAAAACCTAACTCTGGGACTTGTTGTCTTGTAAAAACGATTTTAGTGTTGTAAACCGTATGGTGGATATAGATTTCGGTCTTGACTGCTCTTGATTATTGCCTGTAGCACATTTCCCAGGACAGCCCCACCCACCCAGATGTCCTTCCTGAACCCTCCCCCACCTCTTCATTTACAACTGTACCCTGGTCCCCTTCATACCATGGGCATGTCCATACTTTTTGTTTATATTTTGTATAAAAAACGTAATACTGATGTAAAAATATATGGCAGAGTGTGGATGTATTTAATCAGTTGTACATATTGAGGCCAACCCATCTCCACAGCCTGCTGGAATGCTAGTAACAAAGGGCCGAGATGGGTTTTGCGTAAGGGGAGAATGGAAACTAAAAATAAAGAAAAAGCTTTAAAATATCCCTGGTTAAAGAAAAGTTCTTCAAAGCCATGATGTGGCATCTCTCCAAGCAGGGAAATGTTCTTTGATTATCTTTTTTTTCCTCTTTAAAAAAAAAGAAAAAGAAAAGAAAAGAAACTTTCTTCCACTTTCAGCTTTTATTCAGCAGCCTCAGTGGGAGCAGCTGGAGCTTCTGCTGATTCTGCTTCTTGTGAAGCTGAAGGAGCCTCCTCTGTTTTGGGCGCCTCCTCGGCCACAGGTTCAGCCGACTTCTCCTCTGCCTTTGGCTCTTCTGTGGCTGGGGCCTCCTTGGCCTCCTCTGCAGGCTTTTCTGCTGCTGGTGCAGCCACCGCCGCTGCCTCCTCCTCCGGCTTGGCCACTACTTCCTCCTTGGGTTGCTCAGTGGCAGGTGCAGCCTCGCCTTCAGCAGGCTTGGTCTCCTCGTCAGCAGCGGCCGCTGTTGCCTCTGCGGCCTCGGCTTTGGGCTCCTCTGCAGGTGCTGCCGCTGCAGCTGCTTCCTCGTTCTCGGCCCCATCGCCCGTCTCCTTTTTGGACTTCTTGAAGGAAAAGCCACTTAGCTTGAAGGATTTTTTGAAGGAGAATTTCTTCTTCTTCTTCTTCGGGGTCTCGGTGCTGGTAGAAGCTGCGGCACCATCCTCAGCCTTGGCAGCTGCCTCTCCTTCAGCAGGAGATGCTGCCTCTACCTTCTCTGCATCTACAGCCTCCTTCTCAGTGGGGGCGGCCTCGGCTTTCTCTGTCTCCTCCTTGGGGGTGTCCTCGGCTGTTGCGCTACCATTGGCTTGCACCTCCTCTTTGCCGTTCTCGTTTTCAGCTGCAGCAGGAGAGGCATCTCCATTGGCTTTAACATGTCCGTTTTCCTAAAAGGAGAGACAGAAGCAGTTAATGTCATGCACAGGGCTGGTCCGCTGTAAGTACAGTGCCAGTGGTGAGCAGCAGGGGCAGCAGACACCATCCAACTTCAGCCCAGGCTCGGTTTCTCATTTTCACAGCAAAAACAGTGGAACACGTCTAATAACGGCCATCGAGCTATGTGGATACACCACACATAAATATGTTATGAGGTATTTTTTTCACCCAGAATTTCATTCACATCCTGAACACGAGAGAGCAAGGACCGCAAGGGGTCGCTACGTGGCCGTTCCACAGCAAGCCAGCTGCTCATTAAAACAGCAGCTGCTCTTAGTCTCCCACATGACCGCGAGCAGAGTTCAGACACAATTTCTTTTTATATTTAGCAAATCTAAACGAACTTCTGAATTAAGGTCTCACCTAACCTGTGAAATCCATCTAAAAAGAAAAAAGAAAACGTAGGCTGCTTTCTCTCCGGGGCGCACCGCTGGCCCCCTCCCCAAGCCTCTGCCCCCCCTCCTGTGTGATAGCAGGCTGCCATCTCCACTTTCCAGCCGAGCATCTGTAACAAAAGGCGTGGTGCTCCGAGCGCACGGAGCCTTTGTTGGCCGTCGTGCATCTCGCCCTATTCAGCAACTTCCCAAATAACCTCATCCAAAGCTACAGCACCTCGTCATCGTCTTAAAATGAAGAATTAAAGTCAAAATCGGCGCGAAGAAATTGAACACGACTCCATTCTTGTCTTTTGATTGGCAAAAACCCGAGCAAATAATCTCAATCTATTAAACTGCTTTGTTTTGATTGATGACCTTAAAAGAAATCCGCGCGCATTTCCCCTGATAAACTGCAGGAATCAAATTATCCGTTAAATTAGTTAAATCTTTTCTTTCTACATTTAATACCCGTTCAATTCATCCACAATTACGCGCGGATGGCGCCCCCAGTGCTCAGCTTCCCCCCTCCCTCCCTTTCCACAACAACCAAATTGTCCCCTGACGGATGTTAAAATATCATTTACCTGTCCGTTGGTCTTGGTGGGTGAAGCTGCCGCCTCTCCTGGCTTTTCAGCCGCGGTTTCAGCATTTCCAGCTGTCTTGGACAATTGCGCTCCCATGCTTTTCGCTCCAACAAAGAAACTCGACCGATCCAAAAAGCGAACAAAGACCCACAAGCCTCTTTGTTGAAACGCAAAGCTCTTCACTGGTAGCCCCCTCTCGCTCTCCCACTGTGTGTGTGTGTGTGTGTGTATGTGTGCGCGCGCGCACAAAGAAAAAGTTCACAGGGAAAATGTAAAGCAAACTCCAGTCAGAGTGTGGAGGATTCTTCAGCAGAGCAGGAGAAAGCTGGCAGGTGAGATGAAGTAATAAAATCCCAGGCTGGTGGCCGTGTCGCTGTAGACAGGCTGCAAAATGGAGAAATTTCCCTTGTTGCTAATAAGACGTGGGGTCCAACGCCCAAGTGCAGGGATGAATGGGCGCTCCGAGCGATGACGGCACGGCTCTTCGGTTCGGCCAATTACAGCTTCCACTCAGGGCTTGGGCGGGGTTTAGGGAGGGAACAATAGACGGCAGCGCTGCACTCAAGGTACAGAGGAGTAACTGAAGTTAGCTACATTTATGTGACGTCTCACTTAACCAAGACATCACTTGTTTGCATTTAAATGGAAAATGTCTTTAAAATAAATATATAAAGTGTGCGTTTGGCAACTAAGATGTGAATATTGTGCCATGAAGGTGCCAAGATTTAGTTTAGCTCAAACAGGTGAAGCAAGTGTTGCTGTTTTACATTTGAGACACAAAAAGTCAGATCACCTAACCAAAACTTTTACTTGGATTGACCATCCAGGCATATTAGCAGCCACCCAAGGATGTGTTTTTTTTTCTTGTTCTTTGTTTTTATCTGTTGATTGGACAACAGTATCCACCATTGATTTATTAGGTTTTGACCAAACAGAAGTTTTGAATGGATTTAAATCACATCTTGACATTAAATATGGATGTAAACACCTACTACCTACAATCTACTAATGGTAGTTGAACTACACAGAGCAGAGACCATTTCTGTCTGATAGAAAGTCAGAGGTGGAATATTACCAAAACAACACCATGAGACAAAGATGACAATCAGGTTTGGGTGGATTCAGGAACTTTCCCAACAAACAACAAACACCTACTGTACGTGTGTGTTTGTGTGTGTGTGTGTGTGTGTTGGGAGGGTGGTAACAAGTGCATGTATATAGAAAGTTGGGGGCTGGGAGAGTACCAGCTGCAGTCTTGTTGACGACCGTGCAGTGTGCCCCATGGGGGAGGTTGAGAGTGTTCAAACAGGTCCCTCAGCACACATTTGCAATGCAAATCCATTACAGAGGCAAAGGCAACTGTCCTCAGCTCACTGAGATAGAAGCAGAGCTGGCAAAGCTAGTTCTGTACAGTAACAGGTGGGCTTCCTGGAGCAGTTTCAGTTTCCCGGTTTTTAAAATGTTATCAAGTGCAATGCAAAGCAGTACTTTTCCCCCCCTTTGTCCAGAAATGCAAACCATAGAGTTAACTCAGGTTTTCAGAAGATCCGTGATCACAATGTTGAGCAGGTACCTAATATTATTCATAACAATATCAGTAATATATCATCATTTACATGTACTTTCAGTAATATTCATACTGATTTAGAAGTGCTCTTCCTGAGTTAACTTCAGTAATCACTTGCCCCAAGCTATCAGTGTGAATGTTAGACCCCATTCCTACAAGACTGCTAAAAGATGTACTACCATTAATTATAGTTATAATTTAATTATAACTTTCATCTTAAATATAAGTAACACTTTGAGGAATCTTGGAGTCAATTTTTGACCTACAGTTGAAATTAAAATAATTCTTCTCACATGTTGAATAATGAAGTCCAGTGTTATCTTAAAGACCTCATAGTAACATATCACTCCAATAGAGCACTTCACTCTCAGACAACAGGCTTAGTTGTGGTTACTAGGCTATTTAAAAGTAGACTTGAGAGCTTTTAGCTTTCATGCCCTTCTTCTACAGAACCAGCTCCAAGTTTCCCATCAAAATACCTTTTAATAAGAAACCCCCAAACAAACCCAAACCACTAAATAGCTAGTTGGCTGAAATTCCCAGGTTTCATTGTTTCAGATAAGAATAGTTCTGTGTCTCATTCTCAGACATCTGGCAAAGCATGTGATTAGAAAAAAATCCCCTTGGAATATTCAACATTTTTGTAGAGATCACATATATGATGAATCAGAAACTCTTCATTTACAATTCAATTTGTTGTGGGGAAAGCTTTAAAAACCACACGAGATCTAGTGGCTAAAACACTATCAAATCTTTCTTATGTGGGAACACTAACATTTGTATTTAACAGGGGAAACCCACAAACATTCACAGGTTTCCTTATAATTCCTCATTTCTCATTGAACATGAAAAAAGATTTACAGAAAGAAGAACCAATACTTGTGCAGTCTCAGAGCTGTTGCATTGTTTTTTATAATCCACATTTTAAATTCCCCTTTTGTCCATATAAACTTTTTCATTGCCATAACTGAGCAGCTAGACATGCCCAGTGGCGCCAACTGGTGCAAGCTTTTCCATTTCAAAGCCTCAGCTTCAGTCAGTGGTTGTACCAAGTTGGTGTTTCAGAGCCACAACCAATGTGGATAAGAGTATTAAGTGTTAAGTTAGCACTAGCAGTCTTGGTTAGCAGGTATGTCTATCCACTAAGGAAATGAACTGGTGAGGGTAGCGTATGATGTTATTAGACTAGTTAGCCTGAAGCACTTACAGGAGCTTAGTTGAAAAATTAGCGACAAGTGGCTATCTTATCTATCATGGTCTGTAAAAATAGGTCAGATAATATTTGTTCTAAAGTGACGTCAGCATAGTGAAAGGAATGGAGAGGGCCACGCTGGTGCTTAGTTTTGAAGTATTTGACTATAGGCCATAGGATGCCATGTTCCATAACACTAGATCTATTAATCACATAAGCTTAGCATCGCCGTCATTTTCAGTGTAACAAATGCAGTTTCAACAAAAATAGCTGAACTACATAAGAAGGTTGTTAATATGGTCAAAATCCATTCACCATTTAGTACAACGTTTTAATTGCACTTTTATGTTACGGTTGTTTACCAAGTTAAACTATTGAGAAAGCAGATCCTTACATTATCAGAGTAAAACAAAGATCCTACAAAAAACAAGGAAACCTCCCCTCCAAAAAAAGATTGGACTTGGACTTGGTTGGATGCCGGGCAGACCAGGCTCTTCTTATAACCTTGCTAGCTACCTGAGCACTTTATGCACTCACTGTAGCTCCAAATATGGTGATTCAAACGTGAAAATAGTAAAGTTTATCAACTGCCAACTTTTTATATATTTTTTTGGCATTTTTACAGCAAGGAATGACAGGAAAGCAGAGGGAGAGAGGGGAAGACATGCACCAAAGGGCCGTTGGTCAGATTTGAACCAGTCGACTGCTTTCAGCCATGGCTGAACCATGGCACCTGGTTCCCTGCTAAACCGAGTGAGCTAAACCGGCGCAGAGACATGATGTTATTATGTATCCTTGTGGCACTTTAATTACAAATGTTTCATGCAGAATGTCTGTGTGGACCTTGACTTCAGACTGAGCACAATAACACCATTAGCCTGTCCCATTACACAAAGTCTACAGCAGTGGTTCAGATGATTTTTCCACTTACTATTACCTAATGGTGGAAGTATGTGTACGGTTGATGGCTTTCTTCAGAGTAATTCCACTCTCATTCTTCTCCATGTAACACAACTGTTGTGTTTCAGAGTTTCAGAGCAAGTCCAGCTTTTTTTAAAGCTGGACTTGCAGGTGTTGTGGTTTTCAAAAGAGGGGGATAGACAATTATTTATTGTTCTGCTAATTAGAGGATATAGAATTTCAGATAGAAAGGAGCTATGCTGCTGCTGAGCTGCTCAACAAGCTCAGTGATCTGAGACACCTAGATATCCCTGTGCAGTGATTTTGCTAGAATGGTTGGCACTGATCACTGATGCTCTCCAAAATGTACATTATGTGTATTTTCAAGAACTACACAGCAATAAAAACCCTGAAAGTTACTGAAGCAAAAACTTGGTATATGTGAAAAACTAATGTATATAAAAGCATATTTTGACAGAAACTTCCTTAGCTAACATAAGTCAGAAGAAAGAAAGCTTCAGATAAGATTATTTATCCTGGAAAAATGGTGAGATAAGAAAAAAGAAAAATAAGAAATGCTGATATTAGCCAAACTGTTAATTTAATATTTATATAATATTTGATATTAGTATCAGCTGAGAAAATTCACAATGTTCTATATGTTCTATAAATAACAGAGTTATGTTTATGTAATGATTATTTACTGTCTCCCATTTTCACAGGAGGTGTATGATAGAAAATGGGCAGGATTCCATTTCACTGTCAGTTTTGAGATCCTAGTGTTGGTAAACTTACACCTGTTTTCTTTTTCCATAAAGGTCATTTTTGGTGTTAGTGCCTTTTACTTGCACTGGGCGTCTGATAACCAACAGACAGTCTGTTATGCAGTTGCATTCATGAGTCAAACAGCGTGTAATGAATTGTGCAATGAATTGATGCAACAAAATCCCAGACTTAAATAAGCAGCCCTGCTGCAATCCCAGAACAGGAGCTGGCAAAATTAACTCTGCTTACTGGACATTTAGGTTTTATGGCCATTGTTAACCCAAAATGATTAGCTGAACATTCTTGCTACTGACTACATTTAAAGTCCCTCCGAGGACTTTTAGTGATCACAGAGAAGGAACATATAAAACTTATTTGGCCTAGTTCTCTGACAGTAAACATTACTGTTGCCACCATGCAAATTATATACTGAACAAACAAGCCTTCATAACCCATACCCTTCATCCATAGGTGTCAAACACTACACTGATGCTGAGTCTGGATGCTGTTTCGTCATTCACCACCAAAAAAACCCCAGTATGTTTGTAGTACAAACTAAAAACATTTAGGCTTTAGATTTTGTTCCCTGAGCCAAATCACCCTGCTGTTCTCTGCAATAACTGCTTTATACCTCTAATATTACACCTGCCATTTCAGTTGTAATTGTACACAAACAGCCTTAGGGTATATTTAAAGTTTGCTTAAATTTGGTCTCATCTACACTTTACAGTATGTAAAGAGGACTAACATTGTTTAACACATAATAAAGATGACCATATTACCCAAATTCCAATAGATTTTTCAATCAATTCCACTTGCCCTGCCTCCTTTTTTCCTAAAGACCAGAAAGCTTCTCTCTAATTTTTTCTGGAACAATAGGAAGCCAAGACTCAGTCTTTCTCTCCTGTATTTGCCCTATGATAGGGGAGAACTACAATGCTTTGGTTTTCTAAGGAGGTTCTCTTGCCCTGTCCGTGAAAACTTTGGCACTGAATAGTTATTTCTATTCAGCATCACTTAAGAATTTAAGGAAAAAATACTACCA